GGAGCAAGCGGGGTGCCCAGAAGGCGCTAGTGCTGGAGGACGGGGGAGGTTGGGCACCCGGGAATCCGTAGGAATTTTCGGGAAGCAGGTTTGTTGACTGCGGGGCCCAGAGAGGCCGTTGCCTGAAGCATTCTGTGGGCGGCAGAGTCTGGAGTTGTTGACTTTGTCCCTCTGAGAGGAGGGGTTTGAAGGTTTACAGGACAAGTGCTTTTTTGTTCCATTTTTTGAGACTAGAAGTTTTACAAATTTTTTTTTTCATTGGCAAACCTACAGTTTCCAAAAAGAGGAAACTACCATCACAGTGCTCTATGCTGCTATGCAGAAGTTTTTGGTTTTTGTTTGTTTTGTGGTTGTTTTTGTTGTTGTTTTGTTTTTGCTTTGTGAGAAGAATAGGAACTCATAAGTTATGTATATGGTGGGGGTTTCTGCTTAATTATGGTAAGGGGGTTTTCATGGTGGGAGGTCTCTGGCCTGCTTCCCTAGATTAGAGTTCACCCTGCTGTCAGCCTTCTTTGTTACTAGGTTGTTGTTTGTTAGTTTTGATACTGTCATTGAACCCAGGGTCCTTAAGCACTGAGCCCTATCCCCAGCAACAAACCTTCTTCTTTTTTTTTTTTTTTTATATTGGGGATTGAACCCAGGGGTGGGGTGCTTCACCACTGAGTTACATCCCCAGCCTTGTTCATTTTTATTTTGAGACAGGGTCTCACTAAGTTGCTGAGGTTGGCTTTGAACTTGAGATCCTCCTGCCTCAGCCTCATGAGCCACTAAGATATAGCTTGCTTTTATTGATTACCTCTGGCCTTGATCTTTTTTTTTTTTTTTTTTTTAGTGTTCCTTTATTTTTGTGAAATTGTTTCTCTTTTTGTCCAAATTCTTGTTCTGTATAAATAGTGTTTTAAATTTGAAGTTGATTTTTTTTTTATACTTGATATATAGAAAAATGATGAGTATTTGCATGTTTATTGTAAGGGTTTCCAGGGTGGGAGGTGGCATGTGTGAACAGCCATTTTTTATTTGTTTCTTCTCAGTCTGAATGCCTATTGTTATTATTTCTTATGCTTTCTCTGTACCTATTGATATGACCATAGGATTTTGTTGTTTAGCTGGTTGAGGTGATCAATTACATGAGTTGACTTTTAAATGTTTAGTCATTCTTAAATTCTAGGCCAGGCAGGTACTATACCACTGCGCTAAGCTCTCTTCAGTTTCTTTTCACCTGTATTTTAGAAGCAGTTTGTCTTCTCTCCCTCTAATCTGTAATGGGATTGAAACTCAGGGCACTCTCACTGAGCTACACTCCTTTCCTTTATTAATTTATTTTTGTTATTTCTTATAATGCTTATCTAGTTTTATATTTTGGCACTGTGGACCTCATGCATTATGAAGTAGTACTTTTGCACCTCTTACCCGGAAGACATTGTAATGATTGATATGCTTAAATGTTAGAATATGCCCAAAAGACAAGGTGGGCCTGGTTCTCCCTGTTTTTGAGTTTCTATTGTTTCAATTTGTGGAATACATAGAGCCTTATTTATATTGTTTATCTTTTCTCATGTGAGTTTTTCTGGATTGTTTCTTTTCAGAAATTGTTTGACTTCTTCCAAGTTCTTTATCTGTGGCTTAAGAGTATCTTGCTCTTGTTTGCAGGTCCAGTGTAATACATTACACTGTTGAGTTGAGGTCTTTCTTCTTTTCTAATATACACATTTATTGTTCTAAAGTTCTCCCTACGCACTGCTTTTTCTGTATCCCATAAGTAATATTAGCATGTTTGTTCAAGTTCACATAGTTTGAAATACTTAAATTTCTTTGGTGTTCTTTCTTTCTATTCATATGCCATTGTTTGTTTGTTTGTGATGCTGAGGATTGAACCCAGGTACCTTGTACATGTGAGGCAAGCACTTTACCAACTAAACTATATCCGCATCCCTTAGCCATTGCTGAATGTCTGAATTGATCTGTTTACCAAATACATTGCTTTACATATATTTTGTGTGTGTTTGGAGTGAGGGCACTTTAAACATACTTCTCTAATGATTTCTCACAGTTCTAGATTTCTTGAATTTATTTCTCATATATAAGAAACATTTTGGGGCTGGGGATGTGGCTCAAGCGGTAGCGCGCTCGCCTGGCATGCGTGCTGCCCGGGTTCGATCCTCAGCACCACATACCAACAAAGATGTTGTGTCCGCCGAGAACTAACTAACTAAATAAATATTAAAAATTTCTCTCTCTCTCTCTCTCCTCTCACTCTCTTTAAAAAAAAAAAAAAAGAATACATACAAACAAAGATGTTGTGTCCGCCGAAAAAACTAAAAAATAAATATTAAAATTCTCTCTCACTCTCTCTCTCTTTAAAAAAATATAAGAAACATTTTGACTCCTGACCTGATGTCTTGATAGTTAAAACTGTTTTTTTTTTTTTTTTTTTCTCATAAAGTGCACAAGGGTGGAACACAGGGTGGATCTTGTTTTCTACCAGTCTGTCTGTATTTAAAGGGATTATTGATACAATGGGATTAATATACACCATATTTGTAACTAATTTCTGTTTTACTTTATGTGATCCCTGTTCCTACATCTTTTTGCTTCTCTCTAAAGAACTTTCCAAAAGGCATGATATGGAGATACACTGGTGAAACAGTCTCTGACTTCATTTTAGATGATTCTTTGTTCTCCTTGCTTCATTATGTCATGGAACACCTATAGTGATGGCTTCATGTGACTTGTTATAATTGCAAATTACTCTATGGGTTTTTGTTTGTTTGGTTGGTTGGTTGGTTGCTTTTTTGTTTGGTGATACTGAAGATTGAATCTTTATCTCAGTTAGATCCCACCCTTTTAAATTTTTTGTTTAGAGTTAGGGTCTTGGTGCATTGCCAAGGCTGGGCTTGAACTTGTGATCCTTCTGCCTTAGCCTACTGACTGAGTGGGATTACAGGAGTGTATCACTTGCCCAGTGAATGTCTTTGTTGACTGAATTCAAATTCTGAGGTTTCTCAGAAGTGACTTCTCTCTCTCTCTCTCTCTCTCTCTCTCTCTCTCTCTCTTCTTTTTTTCAATTAATGAGCCCTGTTTCCCTTTTCTTTATTACTATGATGATGATGCTGCCAGGGAGTGAACCCAGGGGCGTTAAACCACTAAGCCACATCTCCAGCTCAGTTTCTTAAAGCCTTGCCAAGTTGCTGAAGCTGGCTTTGAATTTGCCATCCTCTTGCCTCAGCCTCCCAAATCGCTGGGATTACAGGCATGCACCAGTGTGTCTGGCTCTTTATTATTCCTTGATTGTTAGACATTAAATATGCCTAGAGGATTTGATAAGCTACTTTTTTTTCCTCTGTTGTTTTTTCCTTTTTCAATTTTTTTTTTTTTTTTTATTTTTGGTTTGGGGGATGATGCCAGAAGCCCTAAATCACTCAGCCATATGCCTTCCTATTTTTAAAAACTTATTAATTTTCTTTATTTATTATTTTTCAGACAGGGTCTTGCTAAGAACAAGTTGCTGGGATTATATGCATGTGCCAATGGAGCAGGCACGAACAATTTTTTGTTTTCTTAGGAAAAGCTTTTGTTATTGACATTTTGCAATTTTATAGGTCAGTGTATAGGTGACATCTTGGTGAAGTAAAATCTTTCTAAGAACACATACCACTTTCCCCCTTGTTTTATTGTGCTTTGACATTCTTCATCAAATTTTTATTGATTACCTATTAGTCTACTGAGTTATCCCTAATGAATCTTATTTACTATTTAATTCTAATGACTTACAGGAACCTGGTACAGGCTTCTGGTTGTGGGCCCTTAGTGCATTCCCAAAGTATGTACTAAATTCTCTAATGTTTTGCAAAAGAGGTTTCAAATTTGGTCTGATAGTCCAGTTCATTGGAGATTCATCACTCTTAGTGTATTTTGGGCATTGATGAGATAGGCCACCTCTTCTCTTTTTTACTTTATTTATTTATTTATTTTAAAGAGAGAGGGAGAGAGAGATAATTTTAATATTTATTTTTTAGTATTTGGCAGACACAACATCTCTGTCTGTATGTGGTGCTGAGGATCGAACCCAGGCCGCATGCATGCCAGGCGAGCGTGCTACCACTTGAGCCACATCCCCAGCCCAGTTCTTCTCTTTTTTAAAATATTTTTTAGCTGTAGATGGATACAATATTTTTATTTATTTATTTATTTATTTTTAGGTGGTGCTGAGACTCAAATACTGTGCCTCATGTGTGCAAGGCAAGCATTCTACCAGTGAGCCACAGCCACAGCCTGAGATATGCAACTTCTGACAAGCATATCAAACTATTCCAGTTAGAGGACCAGCAGGATTTAAACATTTTCCCATTTTGTTGGGATAACCTGCTTGGGAACCCCAAGCCCTTCCTTGCAGTTAAGCTGGTGAGGATCATCCCGGCAGTAATTGCTAGATACCAACAAAGTTCAAAGTATATTCTCAAGCATTCCTAAGAATGTGCTGTCTCAGGACAGCTATTGTTACTAAGCACTGTACATAGTTGCACTTTGTTGTGAGAAGTGCTTGAGACCTGTGTAGAAAGAGAATTGGAGAGACCTAGCAGTACCGCAAGTGTTCCTGTTCTCTCTGGGAGGACATAGTATGATGTGAAATTCTCACAAGTGAATGAGGTCTCTAGTGCTGTGTGTCTCATTTTCCTCCTGGGAAAACCTGTGGGATATTTCAGGAGCCAGTGACCTTTGAGGATGTGGCTGTGAACTTCACCCTGGAGGAATGGGCTCTGCTGGATCCTTTCCAGAAGAAGCTCTTCAAAGATGTTATGCAGGAAACCTTCTGGAACCTGATCACTATAGGTAAGGGTGACATATGACATACTTTTCTCACTTAGTCAATCAGAGAACTGTTGTTCAGTTATTAGTGCTGTTCCATGATTTGGAATATTCGAAGCCCACATTTTGATGACTGTATTGGCATGGTGACATTATATAACAGATCTGCTATACTCTTACAGTTTTTATATAATTTTGAAATGAATCATTATGATTTTTCTGGGTCTGTATTTTAGGAAAACAATGGAAAAATCAGGCCATTGATGATCACTACAATTCCAGGGGAAATCTAAGGTAATTTAACTCACAAGAGAAGGCAATGTTCCTCACAAATCTGGGAGTAACTTATTAAAAAAAATCATAAAAATAAGGAAAAGATACACCCCAAGGTACAGAATGATTTATCTCCATTTGTTCACTTCAGTGCATACAGGTTGAACATGCATAATTGGAGAGCGCAAAACTCAAATGTTCCAGTACAGACACCCTCTGAAACAGTGCCTTGATGTCTTAAGTGATACTTTCTGGTAGTTTATTATATACAGACTGTTTTCCATACACAGTTTATTAGAAATGTATGAAATTACCTTCAAGTGGGACTCATTTTGAAGATATTTTTCTGTGTATACACAAATATCACAAAATCCCATCTGAATTTTTTCTCATGCATTTCACATAAGCAGTACTCAGTTGTATTTACAAGTGTAAGCATCTTCAGAGTTAACAAAATCGTAACTTGGCAGGCTTATTTAGAAAGCTGATCTGGGCAGTGATGCACACCTCTAATCCCAGCCACTAGGGAGTCTGAGGGAGAAGGATCACAAGTGGGAGGCCAGCTTCAGCACTGTAGTGAGGCTCCAAGCAACTTACTAAGATGCTATCAAAAAAAAAAAGAAAGAAAGAAAGAAAACTTTAAAAGGACTGGAAGGTAGCTCAACAGTAAAGCTTACACAGCATAAAACCAGTTCTTCTGCTAATTCATTAATATTACAAATACTTAGTAATGTGCTTTTCATTCTTTGCAGAAGTCAAGTGTTAGAGAGACTCTGTGAACAGAAAAAAGATGGTCAATGTGGAGAAATCCTCAGCCATATAATAGATTCTCTTGTTAACAAAAGAAGTTCTGGAGTAAAACCAAGTGAACACCATATGTGTAGAGAAGTCACCATTGCTGATCCATCCCTAGCTGTGCCCCTGACAGCTCATACTGGACACAAAGCACATGAGTATCAGGAACATGGAGAGAAGCCATATGAATATAAGGAAGATGGGAAAGCCTTGCATGATCCCCAGCGTTTCCAGAAGCATGAAAGAACTCACACAGCGGAGAAACCCCATGTGTGTAAGCACTGTGGAAAAGCTTTCAGTTCTTCCAGCTACCTTAAAATCCATGAACGAATTCACAGTGGAGAGAGACCTTATGTGTGTAAGCAATGTGGAAAAGGCTTTAGTTCTTCTGGTGACATGAAAAGGCATGAACAAATTCACACTGGAAAGAAACCCCATGTGTGTAAGCACTGTGGAAAAGCCTTTAGTTCTTCCAGCTACATTAAAATCCATGAGCAAATTCACAGTGCAGAGAAACCCTATGTGTGTAAGAAATGTGGAAAAAGCTTTAGTTCTTCTAGCCAAATGGAAACACATGAACAAATTCACAGTGAAGAGAAACACTATGTGTGTAAGCAATGTGGAAAAGGCTTTAGTACTTACAGGTATATGAAAAGACATGAACAAATTCACAATGGAGTGAAACCCTACACATGTAAACAATGTGGGAAAGGCTTTAGTACTTCTAGATACATGAAAAGACATGTACTAATTCACAGTGGAGAGAAATCTCATGTATGCAAGAAATGTGGAAAAGGCTTTAGTACTTCTAAGTACTTGAAGATCCATGAACGAAATCACAGTGAAGAGAAACCCTATACATGTAAACAATGTGGGAAAGCTTTCAGGCATTCCAAAGCAATCAGAAGACATGAAAAAACTCACACTGGAGAAAAACCCTATGTATGTAAGCAGTGTGGAAGAGGCTTTAGTTCTTCTACCAATTTTAAAACACATGAACGAATTCATAGTGGAGAGAAACCCTATGTATGCAAGAAATGTGGAAAAGGCTTTAGTTCTTGCAACTCAATTAGAATACATGAACGAATTCACAGTGGAGAGAAACCCTATGCATGTAAACAATGTGGGAAAGCTTTCAGTTATTACGGTTCAATCAGAAAACATGAAAAGTCTCAAGAACACTGGAGAAAAACCCTATGTATGTAAGCAATGTGGAAAAGCCTTTACTTCTTATAGCCATACCAAAACTCATGAATGAGTGGCTGGAGTTGTGGCTCAGTGGTGGAGCACTTTCCTAGCACGTGTGAGGCACTGGGGTTTGATTCTTAGCACCACATATAAATAAATGAATAAAATAAAGGTCCACCAACATCTAAAAAATATTTTTTAAAAACACATGAGTAAAATAACAGTGCCAGGAAACCTTATACATGTAAGCAATATAGGAAAGCTTTTCAATTCCCCAGAACCCTTCAAATACATGAAATAATGCTCAATGGAGAAAAACCCTATGTATGCAAGAAACTTCTAGCTCTATTGGAATTCACAGTGGAGAGAAACCCTGTACATGTAAGCAATGTGGGAAAGCTTTCAGTCTTTACAGTTCAATCAGAAAACATGAAAAACCTCAAAAACACCGGAGAAAAACCCTATATATGTAACCAATGTGGGAAAGACTTTAAGCACATGAAAACATTCACAGTGAAGAGAAACCTTATACATGTAAATAATGTAGGAAAGCTTTTTATTTTCACAGATCCCTTCAAATACATGAAATAATGCACAATGAGAGAAATGTTGTGTTTTTAGCAATGTGGAAAAGGCTTCAGTTCATCTACCATATGAAGACTTTAAGAGTGAAGAGAAACCCTATACATGTACACAATCTGGTAAAGCTTTTCTTCATTCCTATTTAGTCAGAAGACATGAAATAAATCACACTGGAGAAAAATCCTATGTGTACATGCAATGTGGCAAAGCCTATGGTGATTCCAGTCCCCTCAGACAACATCAAAGATTTCACAGTGCCATGAAACATGCATGTGAGCAGTGCGGGAAAGCCTTCAGTCATTCCTCCACCCTTAAAATACATGGAAGAATGCACACTGAAGAGAAACCCTGTGTGTGTAAAGAGTGCAAAGAAGCCTTCACTCCATCCAGGTACCTTCTCAAAATTCAAGGAACTCACACTTGAGAGAAACCCATGAGTGTAAGCCATGTGAGAAAGTGTTCCTGTTCACAGTTCCCTTTGATACCATGAAAAAGATCATAGCGAAGAGGAACTTTAAAGATGTCAGCAATGTGGGATAACCTTAATTTTAAGATTCTTTTAAGTACATAAAACACCACATGGAGAGTAACCCTGTATCAACAGAAGAAATGGGAAGTCTTTATTATCACATGAACTTGTGAGCAAACCTAATAAGCAGCTGCAATAACTTGTATTTTTGCATTGGAAGTTTTGACCCTTGTTGCCATCTTGGTTCAGTGTGCCCATATAAATGAGCACAGTATGCGGTGGAACCTGCAATAGAAGGAAGACCTGTGCAACAATCTCTCTTTGGTTCGTATGTAAGAAATCACAGTGAATGAAAAACCCTGTGAATGTCTGTAATCCCAGTGACTTGGGAGGCTGAGGTAGGAGGATTGCAATTTCAAATTCAGCCTCAACAATTTAGAGAGGTCCTAAGCAACTTAGTGGGACCCTGTCTTTAATAAAATGTAAAAACAAAACAAAACAAAAGGGCTGGGGATGTGCTAGATGGTTAAGTGCCCCTGGGCTCAATTCATGGTACAAAAACAAAACACACCAAGAAAACCCTATGAATGTGAAAAATTCTTAGAAGAGTGATAACAGGTGTAAAATAGTTTCGGAGGCCTATGAAAATTCCTCATGTAGCAGAATTATGTACATGCAATTAATAGAAGAGCATGGTGCAAAATACTTTGATTTGGTGTCTCCAGAAAATGTACTACCAGGAGGCATGTCCCAAAAGTTATATTGTATTCACCAATAATTTATTCTTTTTTTTTTTTTTAAAAGAGAGAGAGAAAGAATTTTAATATTTATTTTTTAGTTTTCGGTAGACACAACATCTTTGTTTGTACGTGGTGCTGAGGATTGAACCCAGGCCGCACGAATGCCAGACGAGCGCGCTACCGCTTGAGCCACATCCCCAGCCCGGTAGTGTATTCTTAATCAAATCAAGTAGTGAGCCCTCTAACACTTTGAACCATGTTGGATCAAAAGCAAATTGAATTTTATTTCTAATATGTGATTAGTCTTAGTTTGTAGGTTGTTTTTCAATATTTGTGGCTAACAGGCCACTGAAGAATGAGTCTTTGTTCATTGTTGCCAACATCCTACTGACCTCACATGATGGATTATGCATACCCTCTTTTTATATATACACAGACAGATATGTGTACATGTATGTTTCTCTTCAGGGGAAATATGACATTTTTTTGGGCTGGGGATGTGGCTCAAGCAGTAGCGAGCTCGCCTTGGCATGCGTGTAGCCCAGGTTCGATCCTCAGCACCACATACAAACAAAGATGTTGTGTCCGCCGATAACTAAAAAAAAACACAAAAATGAATATTAAAAAAGAATTCTCTCTCTCTCTCCCTCTCTCACTCTCTCTTTAAAAAAAAAGAAAGAAATATGACATTTTTACATGGATTTTATATTTTTCAGAGTCTGGCATATTTTTCCATCTTATTGCTGCATCATAATTACACATAATGTTGAAATTCATTTTTCATATTGTACATGCCCATGATATAGCAATAGATGTATGTTTTCTTTAAGCCAGATTTCTGTACATACTTTTTAAAAGCATTTCTTAAAGGTTTCAAGCAAATTACAGATTGACATATATTAGCTTTTTTTAAAAAAAACTTTTATTGGAAACATTGAAAATTTTGTGATAGAGTGCTTAAATTTTTTTTCAGTAGGATAGTGATTCTCTTTAATTGGGACATTGAAGCTAGACTTTCTTATTGAATTACAATTGTCATCTCTGCAACATTTCTTAAGTCCAGGAAAATCAGATTGCAGTATCAGGCCTACAGACTAGTTCAGCACTCAGAGACTTTTTCTCCTCTTTTTACAATTCTGGGCATTGAACCCAGGGCCTCACATTTTCTAAGTAAGTGCTCTACTACTGTGCTGTATACCCAGCCCCATTTATTTTATTTTTATAAAGGATCTAAGTTGCCCAGGCTGATGTCTAATTTGCAATCCTCCTGCCTTAGCCTCCCAGGAAACAGGGATTTTAGAACTGTTCCATTTAGCGCAACCTATTAAGAGACATTTTACTAGGGGAAGGGAAGAGTTGAAAAACAGAAGAAACCAGAGACTGGCAATAAATTACCTTTTTTCTGAAATATTTATATGCTACTTTTTCTCACATTCCTTTTTTTTTTTTTTAAAGAGAGAGAGAGAGAGAGAGAGAATTTTTTAATATTTATTTAGTTAGTTAGTTATTGGCGGACACAACATCTTTGTTTGTATGTGGTGCTGAGGATCGAACCCGGGCCGCACGCATGCCAGACGAGTGCGCTACCGCTTGAGCCACATCCCCAGCCCCTTTCTCACATTCCTATGTATCTGATCTTTTTAAGCCAAAGGCATATATTTGCTTAAAGATGAATTGGAAATATTTTACGGAAATCAGGGTGAGAAGAAATCTATAACTATTAACTTTCAAAATAAATTTTTTGTGTTCTCAGTTTAAAGATAAATTAAGAATAAATGGGATTGATTCAAGAAAAAAAAAAAAAGCTTCCTCTTAGCAAAAGAAACAGTCAATGATGAGAAGTGGGAGGCTACAGAGTACAAGAATATCTTTATCACATGCACATCAGATAGAGCACTAATCTCCTGGATCTATAAAGAACTCAAAAAATTTAACAACAAAAAAAAACCCAATCAATAAATGGGCTAAGGAACTGAATAGACACTTCTCAGAGACTATATACAAGTGATCAACAAATATATGAAAAAATGTTCAGCATTTCTAGTAATTAGTGAATTGCAAATTAAAACTAAGATTTCATCTTACTTCAGTCAGAATGGCAGTTGTTAAGAATACAAGCAATGGGGTTGGGGTTGTGCTCAGCAGTAGAGTACTTGCCTAGCATGTGTGAAGCCCTGGGTTTGATCCTCAGCACCACATAAAAATAAATAAAATAAAGGTATCATATCCAACTACAACTAAAAAATACATATTTTTTTTAAAAAAATGAATACAAGCAATAATAAGTGTTAGCATGGATGTGGAGAGAAAGGTATACTGATACATTGCTGGTGGGATTGCAAATTGGTGCAACCACTTTCGAAAGCAGTATGGAGATTCTTCAGAAAACTTGGAAAGGAACCACCATTTGACCCAGCTATACCACTCTTTGGTCTATACCCAAAGGACCTAAAATCATCATACTGTAGTGATGTGGCTGCACTGATGTTTGTAGTAGCTCAGTTTACAATACCTAAATTTTGGAAACAACCTCAATACCCATCGATAGATGAGTGGATAAAGAAACTGAGATATATATACACACACATATACATACATACATACACATACAATATGGAATATTACTCAGCATTAAAAGAATAAAATTATGGCATATGCAGTGGATGGAGTTGGAGAACGTGCTGATTGAAGTAAGCTGATACCCAAAAAACAAAGGCTGAATGTTTTCCCTGATTAGTGAATGCTGGTCCAAAATGGGGAGGGGGTAAATGGAGGAACTTTGGATTGGGCAAGTGTATGGGTGAGTAGGGGAGGGGCCATGGGGCAGGAAAGATGGTGGAATGATATGGGCATCATTACCCTAGGATGCACAAATGGTGTGGCTCTACATTGTGTAAAAGCAGAGAATTGAAACTTTGGGCTCTATTTATGTACAATGGACTGAAATGCATTTTTCTCTCATGTATACGTAAATAGGACAAATTTTTAAAAAACGGAAAGAAAGTCTGCAAAAAAGTAGAGGGAAGGCAATGGGGGAGGGTTGAGGGGAGGGGAAGAGGAAGTACTGGGGACTGAATCAGAGCAAATTATATTCCATGCTTGTATAATTATGTCAAAATGAATTCTAATGTTATGTACAACTAAAAAGAACCAATAAAATTTATAGAAAAAAAATTTTTAAATATAGTAGTATTATATTATTTTAAAAATATAGTGTTATTATATTCTCTTGGAATAAGGCTCTTTCGTGCTCGCTTCGGCAACGCATATACTAAAATT